ACTAGGAACTCCGTAATTCATAAATATAATTTTTAGCTTTACGTAATATAGTTTATCATTTTGTAAAATAATTTTTCAGGACAAAAGTGCGACAAATAGGCCTTAATAAATCAAGCTTTGAATTTGTAAGATCACTGAATCTGGCAATAGCATTATTGTCTTTTGATTCGAACAGGGATCTAGGCATTTTCGAATTTTTGCGGAAGGGGAGGTATTTACCTTTTTTCCGATTAATAACATATTCGGAACATTTATCCATTATATTCCTTAAGGTTTTGTTCAGTTCTATAAAAGGGGGGGGGAGAGAGAGAGAGACTGGCTAGCAACAAAACTGGTCAAACCCCATGAAGTAATCATAAATCTTCAAACTTTATAGATACTGCAGCATCCATTTTTAACATGATATATTGCTTTGAATCTTGAATCTGTTTATAACTTTCTTATAGTTCATTGATTTATCATGATCTAAGCATTTTTTATTTATTCATTACGCAATTAGAACAATTCATTATTTTCCATAGGATTTCTCTCGGTATTATAAATAGAAAAGGGGAGGTAGGATCTGGTTGAACGACACTTACATAAAATTAAAAATTGTCCTCAGTCAGCATGGCTTATAACAGTGATCCGCACCCCAGTCCGTGGATCAAATGGTGCCGGGCCGCGTAAAGAACATTAAACTATTGCCATTTTATTTAAAGTGGTGCATTTCTCTTGGATTTGTGCGCAACTTTCCACGGAAATCACTTTATATTCCACGTTTCATCACTTTTATTCATGTTTGGTGTAACTATATTTTTTATTCTGAAGACATATTTAAATGCAACTCAATTAAAATTGTTAAATCAAAACAATCTAAAATATAAACAATTAACGTGTCCCACCCTCAGCGAGCAGCGGTAAAATTATCAAACGTTGACCGGTCTACAGCGATAAAAAGATTGCGGGCAATGGCTTATAACACAGCGGCATCTCCCACCTTTTTAAGTTCCCAAAAACTTTACCATTAATATTTAAGTAATTTAAGTCTCTCTAGTAGAGATTATCAAAAATCACACACACACAACATATATGAACACTATATACCAGGGGTGGCGAACACTTTTTGGATCAACGTGCCGTTTTTTCTTTAAGAAGTGTTTAATGCGGTATAGACAAGCCGTCAAATAATTTTTTACTTGTGGTTATTGAGAAAGTAATAAAACTAAATACTATCAACTCAAAACTCTTAACTCTCAACGAAAAAATACTTTTTGCACTGTATAGTATTAAATGTTTTATTTATATGTGTAATTCAAATTAAAATAAAGTAAGTGTGAATTCAGTTGGGCAGATTAGATGACAAATAACTGGTGTTAGGATTCTAATTACTTTTAGCAGAGTACAAGCTGAATTGGAATCATCTGCCAAACGGCTTCTAAGTGTCTTTAATGTTATTCATCTCTGGAAATAATGACTCGAAGGCAAAGGTAGATGAAAATATGGTTAAAATAGCATGAGCCAGTTTCTTCAAACAGCTAAACGTTTCAGCTTCATTAAACAGCTTCAAACATTCTACGTTTCAAAAATTTCATTACAAGCATTTTTACATCTATTGCTTTTGTTAATCTTTCTGTTTCAATTAATTACAACTTTCTCCATTTTTCAACAAATTTTTGAATCCATATTGAACTAGACTGGAAATCAATCAGCTGCATTTCTTAATTTTCAATTTACAGCCAATCGAATCGGGACAAATTTAGTTTATTAAATGAATTCACATCAGGGAACATTCAAAAAAACTTGAGCGTTTCCAATAATTCTTTGAACTGAGAAAATCTCCCTGAAAACTTCGACCGATCACTTGCGTTTGTTCGTAATACTTCATATTGAACTTTGTTATTTTGAATTAAAACACAAATTGTTTTGATCCGTGGTGCGCCCAAAACATTGTGTCGCGTGTCATTGGTTCGCCATCCCTGTTATATAAAGTGGAGCACATCTCCGGATTCAGACTCGCTAAAAGTCCTTGATTTTTTTCGATTGATTATAATCCTATGTATATAGTACGTAAAATTTAATTAAGTATTTGTTATTAACAATTAATTTTATTAATTAATGCTAATTATTTATTCAATAATTAATTTTTTACTGTTTTTTGTACCCTGAAATCGACAAATTCAAAAGAATATGTTGGGCGACGTATTGGAGCATGATACGAAAATGGTTGAATTTTGATCCTGGACGCTTCCCCCTTAAAAAATTCCTGTGTGCCACTGACTATATATATACGATTAAGACCAGCAAATGGAAATGAAACTCAAGCGAGGAGATCCTGTATTATAAAATGAAAACGAATCATCAAAACTTGTTTTCAATACATCTGAGCTCAATTTTTTTATCCACGAACTAAATAACACAACTGCAAGAAGTAAACACAAGTTTATGTAACACCAACGCGTGCATTTAAATCTTATTCTTTTGAAATCCTCTAGGTAAATGGCTCCGTAAATTTAAGCCATTCCACCAGCGAGGAGAGGCAATTTCACAAAGAGGCATTCGTCATGAGAAATGAGCATGGTAAGGCGCAAGAATCGAAAACGTGCCACGGAATGGGCAAGCGCGATCTATTTTACGAGTTCCATGACCTCCGTCAGCATGAACTCTGACATCCCATTTTGGAACCAGGTGGAAAGCTGGGTTGGTCTGGGAAAATATGCTTCGAGGCTAGGCTATGCCACACACACACCGAAAGAGTCAGTGTCCAGCATTTATTTCTTTGCCACACAAACAAAGGTAAATCTAGAAAGAAGCGATTGCATTTCGATTTTTTTTAAATACTCATTTTCGAAAATGTAATATAAAGATCTAAAATACATTGTAAATCAGTGTTTTTTCCGAGTTAATATCATGATTAGTTATGATTGTCTCTGAAATACTTATTATCTCTCCCTTGACATGGTGATATTTTTAAAAATTATAATGTGAAAAAGGGTTTTTTTTTCCTTTTTATGTAGGGATAATATTAAACCTTTAAATTAAATATTTAACAAATTTCGCACGGAATAGATCGATTCAAAAAAAAATTTTTAAAAAGTCAATACAAATATTTAATTTTGAAATGTTTTCAGTTTTCCTTCGAAGAAGGAAATAAAACTATAAAATGCAATAGCTAAGTCATAAATTAAATATGAATTTCTACAATATACACACATTAAAATAAAGCTTGGTTCCAATTTTGACCCATTTTGTCACAAAATGCCGCGATATACAGCCAAAGATGGAAAACATTTCCGCCCACGATCGAACACAGTCATAAGACCGATGACAACATGTGTCAACATTTTTCGAACTGGCGATGTCTTGTCATTTTTGCGAAATCAATCGATGGTATAAAACCGGGATGGGCATTACGTCGATTGCGACCGACCGGTGGACCGCCAAGACAATTTGGGGCGACCACCTGAAGATTAGCAGTTAATAATTATATACGGAAATATTCAAGATTGGCTGACAGTACGCAGACTAAGTCTTCTATTGAATATAATTACAAGAACTAACTTTAGATGAAAATGTTTTATTTTTTAATGTATTTTGAATTGTTTGATAATAAATGCATTATTATATTTGTGGCTATTATTATTGTGTGTGTGTGTGTATTTTGCGTTTTGCTTTAAACGCGGTTTCAAAAAAGTGATTTTTTTTTAATTTTATTTACGTAGGTAAGTACATATTCCGTATTTATTATTAAGTTATATAAATATTGTTGAAAACTGAAATAAAATATCTAAGTATTTATCATAATTTGCATTCAAAAAAACTTATTTTGATATACATAAATTTCGTACTTCTCGTGTAAAAAGCATTTTATTTCCCTCTATAGCAGGAGTGCACAGCTCAAATTTGTTTGAGGAGATTGAAAATGGCGAGGGCCCTACGTTGCAACTAATATTATTCAATCTGTATGATTGAGGTGCACTTGTATAGTGCAGGTACTACCCATCACCGCGGGCCGTATGTAGTGCACCCCTGCCTAAAGCCAACACAAGAAAAAAATATGAAAAAGATCAAATTATTTACGCGTGACTATAAACACACATCCATAACAAAACATATCTTACATAAACAGATAAAAGTGAGTGATTCCACACCTAATTTCCATTTAAGTGACGTTTTACTCAATACATATTTATATAGAATAGAAAGAACGAGACACAAAATACCTAAACGATATCCATTACTGTTTGCACTCCTACTTTTACTTGAGAGCAGAACCCGCGTTCATAACGCATCCAGTTTAATAGGAAGATGTAAAATGCATGTAACAAACACTGAAGGAAATATTCATTAGAGAGCAAAGATTCATAGCTTGTAATAATTACCCAGACTAGATTAAAACGTTTGAGGAAAGTATAAATTGGTCCTCCGCCATAATGACCAGATGTTGCTTCATGTATAATGTAATGTAGTTCCCTTCAAAACAAGCACTATAGCTCGCGGCGTAGTGATGACTTAGGGCTAGATACATAATAGATACAAATAGATCAAATGGGTCCTAAAACACAAAGACTCGTAATTAATCTCGTAAAGTGAAATATGTATACATTCAAGGAGTTTTGTTAATGCATTTTCAAACTAAAACTTGAATATTTTGGTGACAAACATGGTACTGTTGATAATCGATGTGTGTGTATTTTGTCATACTTCAAAATGTTTCATAATATAGAGAAATGCGCTGAAAATTCAACGCATTTTTCAAATCCTACTCTCTCGATTAGTTCACATTCTCCCTATATATATATATATCCTGTTCAAATTTTCAATCGTTTATAAAATACTTTTTATTTATCCACTCAAATTCAAATTTATTTTTTTTAAACTTGTAGAGATAGAATACTGGATGTTAATACAGTTTTTTTTTTCAAATATTAATTCATTAATTCTATTTCATTAATGAATAAATAGTAACAAACGAAAATAACAGTCCAACATCATATATAAAAAGGAACATCGCTCGTTGTGTTACTGTAGCGCAATGGATAGCGCGTTGGACTTCTAATCCAAAGGTTGTGGGTTTCGAATCCCACCTGGGATGGCTTAATTTCTGAATATGTTATTACTTTTTACCGTACTATTTTATTGAAATAATTAAATTTAAAAATAGTATCAAACAAAAATAATAGTCGAAAACCCTATACAGAAAGGAAAACGGAAAATTGCAAGGAAAATCACTTTCTATTTTGCCATTTAATATTGTGATTCAGTGATATGTATATACATATTTATATTAATTGTAATTATTAAATAGAAAATAACTAAAATAAACTTTTTCTTTGACTTAAGTAGGAATTGAATTATTAATTTTTTTTATATTACTTGTTAAAGAATGAATTACTGTCATATACAAGAAAAGACATTACAGCAAGGGCGGGAACTTTTGGGGGAAGTACCAGTATCTGATAAAAAGAAAAAAATATGCGTGACGTTTCCTAATTTTCCAAGACACAAAAGGTGAAATATATTACTTATTGGCTTATTATGGTATTTCTAAGTGAATAGTACATTTTAATATATATGCACAAGTCTCTTTCTCTCTCTCTCTCTGTATATATATATATGAAATTAGTAGAAATTTAAAAAATAAAATAATAAAGATAACGGTACAAACTTAGGTTTTATTAGTAAACCTTTTACAGGTTCAATCAGTTAAGTTAGGTATAAAATAAAAATGAGTAACTCTAAACATTTAATTCTAAATAATTATCAATCCGTCAGTAATTATTTAAAGTGACTTTTGAATTTGTAGGGTTTTTTTACCAAATCATCTATATTGGGATTAGCTCTTGAAGATCCTAACAAAATTGGGTTGTTTTAGTTGCATATCAACTAGTTTTGAGTGATATTTTGATTTTATGTTCAGAATAAAAAACATTTATATTCACAAACCTATTGATCCAATTTTGAGGGATTTTTTTATTATTATTATTATTGTCTGATACAACCACATTTCAATAAAACTGTAAAAAAAAATTATTTATTATTATCTTTTTAATTTTTCAGAAAGTTTACACGTGTTACTGTTATAACTCCGCCGAGCCACACAGTGGCACGCATGCTGCGGTTTGGCCACCCCTGCAATGGTAACTGAGTCTAAAAAGGCTTCTAAGGGAAATGTCTTAATATTTGTCGATGTATGTCAACAGAAATTTACTGATAAATTTTATCACACACAATACATTGTTCATTAAAGTTTAAGTATTATTGGAGATTAACTAAACTTAATTCAGTGGCGCGAAAAGCCCGTGAGGGCCAAGGCCTACTGTGCCCAACTCAGTACACGCGACCTTGGACCCTGAGGTTCATCAGCACACGTTCCGATCAGGTGGTCAGCCTGACGCAAGCTCCCAGTGTATTATTTGTAATTAATTTCTCAAGAAAATAAAAATATTTATTAAAGATATTTTTCAAATAAAAATTATGTTTTAAGGATTTGAGATTTTTCAAAATTTTATCAAAAAGGTGTACGATATATTTAGATTATTTATATCTTATTATGGATTCCTTTCCTTTTTATGTACAGAAAGGGTGATTTATATTGCATATAACAAGTACTGTCGACAAAGAATAATCGTAAATTATACACATTTTTGTATTTTTTCCTCTCTATACAAAACATCAAAACGTTAGATACAAAACTTTAAGATACAAATATTATTCAGATGATTTTTTTAACCACAAATATAGTTCTTTTTGTGTATGATGTTTATGAAAACTAAAAGCAAGTTTAAATCGAAAGAAGTTGCATCAATATAGACACAGTAAGGATAAAATATTTTTTAAAAAACCAAAATTTCACAAATTTAAAAAAAAAAAAAAGTCCTACTATTTTTACAATTGAATTTTTTTCAATAAAGAGATATAGCCCGCATTGTAACTTCCGGAAAGGGATTTGAAAAAGATTTACGTAAAAGGAGTCTTCAGAGGGCCTCAGAGAATATGACTACAATAGCAGATCTGAATGATTTTTTATATATATCATTTATATGAACATCTAAATGTTACGAAATACAATTTCTGAAAACGAAGCTTCTATTACATTACATTACTTAATATTTACATAAACTAATAGTAATTAATTTCCATGAAAAATATAATTAAATGTATTCAATTCAGTATGGACAATAAGGGGGGGAAAATCCCTCCATGCAAAAAATTCAAACAATCCGTATAAAGAACATCCAATACGTAATAGTAATATAAGAGTAATTATAATCTATTTTTATTTTATATATTTTTATATTTATTTACAGAATATTCACATTTAAGATTGTGTTTTAAAACTATTTTTAATGCAAACCATTTTTACAGATTTACAATAGCTTGCACTGCAATAGAACAAATAAAAAGAAAATGTTTACATTTCATTTTGAACTACTTAGTTGACGCTTGTGGCTGACAAATAATGAATTTTACCGGAAGTAGTAACATTGCAAAAAACAGTATTTTGAAAACTTAATTCTTGTCATTGCGACCGATTTTTCGTATATTACTGATTATCTGTTTTAAGTAACGTTAAATTGAGGCTGTGTCTTCGAGTTAGGTTAAATAAAGGTTATCCAATTTAAATCAAATTCGAAATACAAGAAAATTGTCCTTATTTTCAAAGAAACATGTGACGTCTTTGTGTGTAAATATTATACAAAATGTTGAAACATTTCACAAATAAGTAATGGAATAAATTCACATGACGTCAAAGTCACATGATAACTACAATAACCGTGTTTCCAGCCAATCAGTTCATAAATTCAGTGACGTCATAGACACATGATAAATGCAATTACGTGTTTCCAGCCAATCGATTCATGCACTTCGCTGTTGCCAACATTTGTTTCTTGTAGGAACTTCTTTAAAAAATACAAATTTGTCAACAATAATAATGCACGCAGGTAAAGAAAATGAATTTGATTTAAAGGTACACGTATAGTATCAGAATTTATTTTTTTAATTTAGAAAATTTTTTTGAAGAATCAAATTTGACCATTTTTTATTAATTTGGGAAATTAGAAAACAAAAATTCAAGCCAGAAAATGGGGGTTTCCCGAATTCAAAAAAAAAGAAACATGTGACAGTATTTCTCACGTTTGAATCTTATTTAGCATTACACAGCGATGGATTTCACATTAACTGTTCACCAAATAATAATAATAATAAACTAGCGAATATTTCTATACAACACTTATATCTTGATGCTAATTGAAATTTCACACTGTAATGAACATTTGAACGTCAAATAAATCATATTTCATTGAAGTTTTAATTTTCCAGAGCCGCTCAAATCAAAAGCATGCAAACATAACTCCACCGCACAAAGCAACCAAGAACATCCACGGTACATACACATTTAAGTTATACATCCACTCAACCGATAATTAATTAATTTTAAGTCCCCATCTCTATTAAGGAAAGAAAACAAGTAAAGCACGACTAATGGAATTTATATTAAATCTAATTAAATATACCAGCATCCCCGGTTTAAAAACGCCTTGGCTTGCCTTTTCGACAATAAAAATTTTAAAAAAAACCCTAACTTTTTCCCATTTGACAAGAGTTCAACACACCTTAGTCACGATTATTGGATGCATAATAAGATCGTCACCAGACTTCCGCATAAAAATGACATCGTTTAAAAGTTAAGAACAGACGTCGGCAGAGAAAAATTTTTCCTTTTTTGGTTTAATTTATTTTGAACTGCGAAAAGGGAAATCTATTTCAGAGATGTATTTCCCATCTTTTTAACCCGTTTAAATCCCCCAAAAGGCGTCTCTGTGCTTTAAATCAAAATTAATTACGTGGATTTCGAATTTCATTGGAATCTCACACAGTTGCCAGATGTTTCAATATTTGTTTGAATTTTACACATACACTTTATAGATACTCCAAAATTCTAAATTCCGAATATTTTTTAAAATCAAATGACCTTTTGGGGGAGGTTAGGGGGGTAAGAATAGCATACGTATAAAAATTAAATTTTTAATTTTAAAAACCATATTGATTCAATTCAGTAACCAAACGATTTGATTGTTGGAATGCTTCATATCTATTTGCGTTTCGATTTACCACGTTCCTTGCTATTATCTTCAATAAATTGGCAGTGCTTTGGAATATCTGCATATTAATTGAAATACTTAATGCAAAATGTTTTAATTAGGCAATTAAAACTCTTCTATAACAAGATAGGAAAATTCGTTCTGCTTAGAACATATGAGCTAATACATATCATAATTATAGCATTCAAATACGAAAGAGAAAAAATTTCATTTAGGAAAATCGGAATTATAATTCCTTTTTATTAAAAATGTATTTAAAAAAAAATGTTAAAATATAGAAATAAAAAAAAATATTTCTCGATTTAACTTACCAAAGATTAAAAACAGAGCATTAAGACCAACCGCAGAGTCATATCTGTATGTGTGTGTGTGTATAAGAAGTATCCCACATTATTACTTAGTTCCCACTAATTACAATTAATATAAATATGTATATACATGTGACAGAATCCCAATATTAAGTGGCAATTTTTATTAATTATCATTAAAGTATCGTATTGCCATCCAAAACAATGATGCATATAAAATTTCAGTTCAACGGAATGCTTTAAAACGAGAAGGAAAAAAATGTTTTCAGGTTTTGACCCAAGTCGCTGAAAATGAAGCCAACGTGACTGTATCTGTAATTCTTTAAATAATTACTTTCAGTCAATTGATTTTAATTAATTATAATTAAATTATCGTATTGTCACCCAAAACAATCGTGTATAGAAAATTTCAATTAAAATTAGCGTTTTAAAATGCGAGAAAAAACATTTTAAAGTTTTAACACAAGTCGCCAAAAATAATGCCAACACGGCTGTATTTGTAATTCTTTGAATAATTAGTTTTAATCAATTAATTTTTATAAATTATAATCAAATTACCGTATTGTCATCTAAGATAACGTGTATATAAAACTGCAGCTCAATGGAGCGCTTTAAAATGTATTTTATTAACGATTGAAAATTTGAATAAGATATATATAGAGAGATTGTGAACTAATAGTAGG